GCAAGCCGGCTAAGTAGCTTGTTGAAGGCACTGCCGCTCATCTTTCGGCCACCTACTCGGGCATGTCGCTTATTGGGCACTGCCGGCAATGGGTACATTGACATTGTAGTAGTGCAACATGAGGATTGCCAACCCCCATTCCCCCACTTGTAGCACTGCCTCAGGATACCAGTGCATGAGCACACCGGTGCTGGCATGGTTGACTCATCATACGCAACCTGATTCAATCCCAGGTCCTGACATTTCCAATCAGACTTTGACACAACCAAGTGTTTGTTAACATCATCACCTCCGCCACCCATATCCTGACTGCCCTTCCACTCGTGTAATTTATCAAATGTCATCTTATTTAAATCCTCACTCTCCCTCTTCACCTTCCTGGGAGATTTTGAGGTTTTCTTATTTGGTGCCATCGTCTTGGGTTCCCTAGGTCGTTTGGGCTGTCGTGACTTTGTAGGCAAAGAAGCATCAGGTGGCATTGGGACAGAATCGCTTGTGTGCATATCCCTTGTACCATAAGAAGCTTCATTCATGTGAGGAGGATGATGTACATGCTGCTGCGGGTGGTGCATATGTTTGACCCCACGTGAAATTTGGCATCCTGGTGGACATGAAGATACATTACCATTATTCAAGGAGTTTTCCCGGTACTGAAGAGTTGCAATGGCATTGTCTCGTTCCATAATGGCACTATTCCGTTCTGCAATTGCGGCATCTCGCTGCAGGAACGCCATGTCTCGCTCTGCAAGGGCAGCTTTTTTCTCAGAAAATGCCAAATTTCTTTCTTGAAGAGCTGCATCTCTTTCGGCCATTATGGCCATTATCTGTTTCATTGATGGCTGATGTTGCATCAACCACTAAAACAAAATGAGAGATACAAAATTTCATCAGATATGCCTCTCAAGTGAAATTGTATATACTTAATACTTCATGAAAGAGTTTATATGTGCTAGTTCACATCATATTATCTTTATGTAGCTGTGTTCAGAAAATTGTTCGCGGATACCTGACCCTGAGCTGCTTTATACTGCTCTGCTTTGATTCTTCCATTTTCACGATGCCCACTATCATCCATCTGAAATCTGCAAATAGCAACAGTTGCAGACGATAGTTTTACACCTCCAACACAAGTATAATGCTCAGCTCAGCTTGTTAAACATGAAACCAACATTGGGGCTACATACCCTGCAGTTGATGTCCAAAAGAAAAAAAGTTCAGATTTCGGATGTAGCACAAATATGTAGGAGAAGCCCACAAGATACATTTTCAGAAAACAGGTCATCAACTACAGAATAAAGTCTAAACCTACTCTGACAGTCATGGATCAACTACGAAATCAATATCCTTGTTTGAATTCAGTCATGACTTTTTTACTTCAATTGATTTACAGAACATATTGATCAATCGCAGGCACTTAAAATGAACTTAACTCTCACGACTTATTCAAGAGGGGGTGCTATTACAGATTGTACTAAACCAATGTTCCATTGGACTAGCCAAGGTAGAAGAACGAACTTAAAATTGACTTCGTCCTCTGGTCAACACACAAACCGATTCTGAAACATTCAATCAATTCTTAGACGAAGACTATGATCAAATATTCAAAATCCGTAAGAACTGCAGGTTCAAAAAACTTCAGTTCCTAACCAGCAGAACTAAAAACCCTAGAAATCCAAAATCTCCAATCCGGTCACACAGCAAGCTTCATTTGCAGAGTGAAAAGACAATCGCAACCAAAATCAAGCATACAGCGGCTGACGCCAAACAAATTCGAAGCTGCTCTAAAAGCACAACCTTAAACCACGTTCAAGTACTAAAAGAACTAAAGACGGTTGTGATGGATACAAAAGAGACCAAAACGTAATCCACGAAGAAGAAAATCGGCATGGAAGAAGAGGAAGAAAGAGATCAGAGCTTACCAGAGACGGCGAGAGAGTGAAAGAGTTTGGAGAAACCCTGGTTTTCGCGGAAGACGATGATAACCCGTGCAAGGGGAATAGTCAGATAGAAGAAGAATTTTCAACTTTTTGTGCTCTCTCATCAGACACACAGAGAGAGGATGTAGATGTAGACAGACTTGTAGTACAGTACTAGTGGTGCGAGGGTGGGGTTTTACCTTTCTCTCTTACATTTTTTTTTTCCTTTTTGTTTTTTTTTATACTTTTTCCCTCTGTCTAGCAATTAAATTGAAAAAAATTATAAAGCGGGTTTTATTTCGTATCGAGTAATGTTATTTAGACACACAACATTGACACACTTAGTGACATCCGCTGATGTGTCAATGTATCATTTGCTCTTCTTTTCTCATCATTTTCTGTTCAAATGATACATTGACACACTTAGTGACACCCGCTGATGTGTCAATGTATCATTTGCTCTTCTTTTCTCCTCGTTTTCTGTTCAGCGAATGATACATTGACACATCAGCGGGTGTCAACTAAGTGTGTCAATGTTGTGTATCCAAATAGCATTATTAGTCTCTTACGCTCACATGAGCGGGTTTTATTTAGTATTTAACTAGTCTCTTGCACGCACTAACTCACACCAATTCACCAAAGAGCATTTGAGAGCTTTTAAATGTTGGCTTAATTGTAGCAATAGTCTTTAACTTCATGTTGGATTCCCGTATTGGTACTTGAATTTGAAAAATAGATGTCGTAGTTTCTCAACTCTACTTTCATTAGCTGGTCATATGTTACATTTTATGTCAAGTTTAGGAAAAATTAGTATTTTTTGCTAAAATATGAGAACTATAAGAGAATATTTGTTTTTAGGAATTTTTTGTGTATTCCTCTCATTGTATGAGGTCATATTTATAATACAACGGAGCCTTAGTGCCCAAGTAAATAATAAATTCCTATTTCTATTTACGGTAGGATATCATAAATTAAAGTAAATCAATTACAATTATAATTAGAATCTTTGGTGTGTAAGGAAAGTAAGTCAATGGTTCACCATCGAGTTTTATTTGATGAGCCATCCCTTCACAATAGAGTTCTCCGTGAGCCAACGGGGAAACGTTGGAGGGATCGGAGGAGATTGTGGAAGATTTCCATTAATATATCCCAATTTGTCTTAGCCGCAATTATACATCTCGACAACTTGAGACCATAGGGCATAGTTTGGTGCCATCCAACAACTGATGCCTATATGAGCAACATAAGCTTCATGTGTAAGGAAAGTAAGTCAATGGTCCACAAGTGGGTTTTATTTGATGAGTCATCCCTTCACAATGGAGTTCTCAGTGCGCCAGCGGGGAAACGTTGGAGCGGTGGGAGGAGGTTGTGGAAGATCGCCATTAATATATCCCAATTTGTCTTTCCGGAGCTATACATCTCAAAAACTTGGGACCATAGGGCATAGTTAGTGCCATCCAACTTTATGCCAATATGTGCAACAGATGATTCATAGGTAATCGTCGTTGGGATCGTCGTCTGAGTCTGGTTCGGGGTTCTCGTCGAAGTCGGGTTCGGGGTCGTCGTATGCGTCGAGTTCAAGGTTATCATCTAAGTCGAGTTTAGGGTCGTCTGGGTAGGATCCTTATTTAGGATCGAGTTCGAGGTTTGAGTCTGCATCTTTAGAAGTTAAGCCACCTGGAAACTCAGCTCCGCTATGGTTGGTTCAGAAGGAGAAGAGGAAGCAGTGGTACTACCTTCATGAAGATTAGGAGAGTCATCCTCCCCCATGGTGGTGGCTAGAGTCAGTAATCCCAAGATTGCCGCTTTGATACCATTCTAAAATATGAGAATTATGAGAGAATATTTGTTTGTATGAATTTTTTGTATATTCATCTCCTTGTAAGATGTCATATTTATAATACAACGGAACCTTAGTGGCCAAGTAAATAATAAATTCATATTTCTATTTACAGTAGGAAATTAGTAATTTAAGTAAATCAATTACAATTATAATAGGAATCCTTGGTGTGTAAGGAAAGAAAGTCAATGGTCCACAAGTCACGCCAACATTTTTTATGTTCTTTCTCATGGACGAAACATATTTTCATCCACATCAGTCATCTTCTTCCACTTTGCTGCCCACCACCTCATTCGTTTTCCCTTTTGTGTTGGATTTGAAGGTCGAGGGATCAATAATGGCTATATGGTTCATAAGTCAAGGAGGAATTGAATGGTCTCAATGGAGTGGGGTCGTGTGGGAATTTGAAGGATTGTGGCTATTACCAAAGGTGGTTTGGGGGGATGGGTGGTGGTGTTGTGAGTGTTGCGAACTCGTTTGGGTACAAAGGTGGTGGGACGTTGGACTTGAAATGACTAATTTGCTCCAAAATTTAATAGAAAATCTAACATAGGACCACTATGCTGATAAAATTGGCGTGGTTGGACTAGAGCAATCATTTTCCGAATTCAATTATCAAAATACGAATCGAACACAAATTCAAAGACTATTGCTACAATTAAGCCTTAAATATTTTACTGTTTGATGTCTCCAAGTTTTTATATATACATATATATGAGAAGAAGAAAAAAAGAGCTCTTTCGCCTTGAATTAACCCAAAAGGAAAATAAAAAAGAAATAAATGGACATGGTTGTCCAATTCAATGTGGCGTGGCATAGAGATTCGACCAAATTCATTAATTTTCATGGGCTCGTTCGCTCGTGTGGTAAAAGGAGAAATGTGACATGGCCAATGTATATGTGTGATTCTGTTTCTTCTTTTGGGGGAAGATAATTGGCATAGCAATATACCCACACAAAACTTAAACTAGTATAAAAAGAAATAATGCGGTGAAGTATGAAGATTGAAACAAAATCATATGTTTATAGGACTGCATAAAACCAATTAATTTGAAAGGATTGCAACTTTTCTGTTGGAGGGAAGAAAAATGACAATAAGCATAAAACTCATTCTTTCACTGTTTAGATACATGTACATTCTCAGAAAATCTCCTATCTCCTTACTTTTATCGGAAGAGGAAAGAAATGGAAATCTAGAGTTCTCTGATATCTCAACCACAAAGGTGAAGTGAAATGCAGAAATGTTAATGGGTATGGGCCTTCCTCTCAATACTCAACTTACTAAGTACGAGTGAACCAACAACAATGAGCAGGGCACCTGCAAACCACTGTCAAACAAGCCTTCTCATCATCAGATATGCAAAAGAAACAAGTCAAGGAACATTTTCTCAAGGTTCTTATAATGATCGGCAGCATAACTGCATAACATCAATCACATTTGTAGTGCTCCAAAACCGGAATGAAAATCTTTGGTGCAAACACTCCACCATTTAACAATGTCATTCGTTTATTTAATTCTATGCTTCGCATTCAAAATCAAAAGCAATGCATCGTATATGTAACTCCGAAGCATATACTAAGAAAGCATATGAAAATGAACAAATCGGTGTGAGTTGGTCCAATGTCATTAGCATGTATTGATTTACCTGAAAAGATAAGGGTTCTTGGAACAAAAAGTATCCAGCTAGACTAGAAAACAAGAAGTTCGCAGCAAAATTTGTAACAATAGCTTGCAGAGAAGACAGAGCTTTAAGGCTGTTCACATAACATCCCCACATTGTCGCATTGAACAATATCACCAAACCATACCTAACAATCTGTTCAAACAATAACAATTACAAATCAAGCTTTCGTTGACCAAATAAAAAATAAAAAAATTACAAATCAAGCAGGATTTTGCGATGTAAATCCAACGGTCTAAAATTCATCAAGTGAGCAAGGGAAAGGCACCTGAGGAGTGATGAGCTTCGCCGAAACAGCAGCCAGAGTGGCATTTAGGACGGCTGAGATTGCCCACCCGTAGCCCTTCTTGTTGTTACCCTCCATCAAACCACCAAACTCTTCAATTTTGTTGCAGGGTGAAGGTGTAACAACCCGATCTTAAATCAATTTTTAGTTATTAATTTATTCAAGTAAAAGACAATTTTACCCTGGGAATATTTAAATGATTTAAGAGTTAACTTTTTATTCGGGGAAGATTAAATAATTAAAATAAGAGGAAATAAATTTAAATGAGAAATTAAATTTAAATAAACAATGAAATAAAATGATTTGAATTAATTAAGGTTTTGAAAATTAAAATATTATTTAATATTAAAAAGGGGTAAAAATGTCATTTTTAGTTTAGGAAGGAATTTGGGAATTCCGCTCCACCCTTGCAACCGCCGTCACACGAGCCCACCGACCACAAGACTGGTCAGGATTGAACCGCCATCCTCCCCCCATCATTTCCCGACTGATTCCGGCCGTCGCCGACCACGGAACTCGCTGGAAAACGCAAAAAACCACCCGATTTTCACTCGGAATTTCCAACCGTCAATCTCTCTCCTCTGGCTACCGTTTCCAACAAGTGAGGTATGCTTTCTCACCTATTTTTCGTGCTCTAGCTGATGGTTGGGTAGGATTTGATCAATTTCTAGCCTAGGTGGTTCGATTTAAAATTAAAACCCACAATTTGCCCGATTTTTGAATTGAAATTCCGGCCACTTCCGACCATTTTTCGGGATAGGTCCAAAAACAAAAGTGGCTCCAATCTATGTTCTGAACCTAGGGTATGAATCTTGGCCCTCAATTTTGAGGTTTTTCTGGCAGCCGCTATCGCTTAGGGCACTATAGCAGAGGGGCATTGCGCTCAGATGTGATCTACTAGTTGTCACGAGCGCGTAGGTGTGTTCGAATTCAAGTTTAGATACCATTTGAGCCTCGAACGAAATTGTGCGATTTCCGGGTTCGATATGTTCGGACCCTTGGATCGACTCCAATTTAATATATGTTGATCAAGGCATTCCTAGGATCGTGTAAGATTTTGCGGATCGTGAATCGGAGTCTCGGATATTCCGATTCAATATTTCAAAGTTAACTAAACGATAATCGTTCGATTGAGCAATCATGATTAATTAGACCGTTCGATCTGGGCTAAACTTGCAGGATATGGTTATTAAAATGTGTAGAACCTATAGGAACTCTCGGATAGATAGTTTGAGGTCGTGGGCCCCGCGGGTCTGGTGGACCAAGATTGGTAGTTTGACCCCTCGGTTGACCGTGGGTCTTCTGAGGTAGTTTCACCCTTCAAGAAGAAATAGAATGATATTGTAAATGAGCCTTGACCGTTATTTAAATTATTTTGGGGTCTTTATGGAATTTATGCTTTTGCGAGTGAACTTTGTGTTGATAGTGCCTTGTTGTTGCCGATTGAATTATTATGCATTAAATATGAATTGTTTGATTATGGATGAATGTTGAGGTTATTATAATATTTTAGGATATTTCCGGATGTTGTTTCTAATATTCGAAGATCGTGCGTTATTAGAGGCGACAAGATCTCTAGGAGTTATCGACGTATTTAGTTATTTAATTACCTATTATTAGTAAAATTATGATTATCATAAAAGTATTTTATTGAGTGTTATGGGTTGATTTAATGTTTATGAGTTATTATGTAATTGGATTTTGATGTGAATAATAATTTAATTAAATATCTGATTACATGTTTGTATTTAATATTTATATATGTATATAAATCTATATGCTCAGTGGTTTAAAGAAGATGAATCATGGACCTTGGTCTTTATCAGATTATGATATATATATTTTAAGTGTAGTTGAGAATCAATTTATTGGAAAGTTGATATAAAGGTCGGAAAATAAATTTGTGGAATAAAGGGAAAGTTTGTGATAAGTTCAGATATGGTTTTCAAACCCACCACAGGAGTACCTCTAGTTGCTTTGAAACAATTTGTCATTTATACATAATGCCCCACGACTTCGGGGACGCCTGAATCGTGTGGTGCAAGGAATGCGGCTTAGGCTGACTAATGGTCTCCTGAGGCTTGCGAGGAATGCGGCTCAGGTTGACTAATGGTCTCCTGAGGCCTACGAGGAATGCGGCTCAGGTTGACTAATGGTCTCCTGAGGCCTACGAGGAATGCGGCTCGGGTTGACTTTGTGTCTCCGAGGCCTGTGAGGAATGCGGCTCGGTTCACTTTGTGTTTCCGAGGCTTGTGAGGATGGAATTGACGAATATATGGAATTGATGGAATATTCGGAATTGACGAAATAATACTGGAATTGACGGATCAGGATTGGGGGTACGCCTAGGTGGAGAAAATATAAGTTTTTAGATGTTTTTAAATTACAATTGAGGATATTATGTTGGTATTTTATGGGCAAAAGTTTTAATATTTATTATCTTGACATTATAAGACAAAGAATGAACGGTTACAAGTTTTAAGGGTTTAATAAAGTTTATTATTATTTTCTTAAGTGATGAGGTTGTTTTACTAGTAAAAGAGAGGGATATATGTATATATATTTCAGTTAAGTCGTTGATACATATATAATTATTTTTATTTTTATTTTTATTATTGTTATTGTTATTTTTACTTTTATTTTTATTTCTATTATTATTATTATCTTATATATATATATATATATATATATTTATACATATAGTTTAAGCCGATAATATACAAATTGATTCATGAATTAGAGGGAGTTCAGTGTATGGCTTATTTATATTCAGTATATGACTGTTACGAGTATTGAGAAGTGCAAAGTATTGTTTTAGAGTTATGAATATGATGGAGTACATCATGCACATGAGAACTCGGTTTGATTGGCAAAACACATGGCAATATGATGACTGATTAAGATATTCAAATACTTTGCTAAAGAAAAAGAACTGCGTGTGGCTTGATTCCTCAGTATGGGTACGTATGCAACCTAATGTTACCAGGTGCAGCCACGAGTTAGAGTGTTTGAAATTGCTAATGTATTATTATTGATCTGAAAGTTGAGATGAAGATTGAATGCATGCTGGCAGTTGAGATATACATATATATGCTTATTTGACAGGTATAATTTTTGGGAATTGAGTAATTTACAAGGGAGACTACCGGATTTCCGCCAGAAGTCAAATTTGAAATAAGTTTGGATTTTAGTTAGAAGGGCAATTTGGTCATTTGTGCACGGCACCTGCCAGGTGTCGGATACACACAGGGTTCAACTTGGATTCTAAAGTGAAATTTGGGTCGGATTTTGTTAGAAGGAAATTGGATCGAGAAGATTTTGACTGTGGCGAGCGGACGATGTCGTTTTGCCTAATCGTGAAACGGCATGTCCTTAGTTTGTTGCTGACAAGTGGCCTAGTGGACGACAAAAGTGGATGGTGGACAAGTCACGTGAGACGTGGGTAAACAAACAGTTTACTTTCGGAAACGACAAGTCGTTGTAAGTTGCGACTGTTATACCAACTCGTTCAAGTTTCCTTCCAAAGACTCGTTCGGAAATACTCTCAGAAAAGAAACACAACCCGTCCACATTGGCAATCCATGCCTCAATAAACCAGCCAATCAGGGACAAAGCACGCGGATTTAGACCTTTTCCTTCTCCAAATCGGATTTGGTGTTGAAAACTCCAAGTCTACGTTTCAACCGACTCTCCCAATCAAACGTCATTCATATATAAAGACCTGTACTTCCATTCTCTCTCTCATTCGCATCATTTCAATCTTGTTCCATCAATCTCCTGATAATTGTGAAGATCCAAAACCCTAGCCTCTTTCATTTCGAAAGGTTCGATTACGAAAGCCACATAGTCCCCCAATTCCTTTCTATTTCTCATCACCTATTTTTTCGTTTCTAATCGGTTCTTTGTGACTCTGATTTCAGATTCTCTGCGAATTTTGTGATTAATTTGTGAAGAAATGGCTCGTACCAAACAGACTGCTCGCAAATCAACTGGTGGTAAGGCTCCGAGGAAGCAACTCGCCACCAAGGTGCGTTTCGTTATGGTTTCAAAGTAGGTTGTTTGGCTAGATGGAAAATTATAATTGATAATCAAATTCTTGGATCTAATTTTGGTTGTGTTTCGTTTTAATTTTGTAAAGGCTGCTAGGAAATCAGCACCAACAACTGGTGGAGTCAAGAAGCCTCACCGTTACCGCCCTGGAACCGTTGCTCTTCGGTAAGTGTTTTCTCTAATTCGACGTTCCTCTTCTTGAATTTCAATATCTGAATCGTGCCCTAATTCAATTAAAATCCTCTGTTTTGATATTTACAGTGAAATTCGCAAGTACCAGAAGAGCACTGAGCTTCTGATCCGCAAGCTGCCTTTCCAACGCCTGGTTCGTGAAATCGCTCAAGACTTCAAGACCGACCTTAGGTTCCAGAGTCATGCTGTGCTTGCGCTTCAGGAAGCTGCAGAGGCCTATTTGGTGGGTCTGTTCGAGGACACCAACCTATGCGCCATCCATGCCAAGAGGGTGACAATCATGCCCAAGGACATTCAGCTTGCTAGGCGCATCCGTGGCGAACGTGCTTAAATATGTTTAGTTTGTTTTCATATTAATTTCTTAGGTAATTAGGTGTTTTAGAGCAGCAGCCATTGTTACTTGTTTCTGTATAGAAGTAAGCATTTATTTTTGAACTTCAGGTTGTTGATACATATATGACATTATAATTTTGCCCATCAATATGCTATTCAGTTTTTCTTCATGAGCTTGCGTGTTCGATATGTCAATCGGCGTTGCAGAAAACGTGTACTTCTTGTTGGAATTACACCTGTTTTGTTGTAATTTCCAATGTTATTATCCAGAAACCAAATGCAATTATGATCACTGATCTGTGATGAATGGAGTTGAGTTGGTGAAAGTTGAAGCATTGTGTTTGCTGCAAGTCATTCTTAATGGATCAGCCCAATTGGTCAGGCTCCTAATGTATGGTTCTTAATACAGCCCAATTGATCAGGCTCCCAATGTTTGGTTCTTAATAAAGCCCAATTAATGATCCTTCTCATTGTTGTCCAAGAATTATTTTTGGACAATTCTTTAGTATATGACCTTTAGGTGAGGCCCCTATCTCTCAATAGTGGACAACAATTCTTTAGTATATGACTTTTAGGTGAGATTCTATCTCTCAACCCTTAGATCACCTAAGGGACGTATCACTGTAGAATGACTCCATTATTGTCATCTACTGAGCCCATTATAGGAACCGGACCCAAGTTCATATAGAAAACGCAGCCCAGTTTAGGTACATCGCTTGCGGAAAGGCTAAAATGAGGAGTTTGAGTGAGGAGCTTATTTGAGGATGTGAAATCTCACCATCAACAACCAAAAACAAAGTACATGGGGGGGTGCATTGGGGGATCCACACTCCTTTTGATGGTGAGATGAGCCTCCTCAAATAAGCTCCTCACTCTACCTCCTCATTATAGAAGCTCCTCATGGCTTGTAGTGATTGTTTTGCAGCGATAAGATAGACTTGTACCATCCATGGCTAGATAGGACTCATTTTACAACACAATGTGATAATTCATCTAAAACAGCTAGCAGACCACAATGGACCAACAACAACTAGGTAGATGAACGAACTAGTTCTGTCTTTGATTCTGCAAAGTCCTGATAATTGAAGCTCTTGTCTCCTAGTTAACTCGTGAAAATTTTCACATGTCAGCAGCCTTGATAATTAACAAAATAGGAAATGACTTGTATATTATAATATATGTGACTTATTGGGTTGGGGTAAGTGAAAGGTGGCTTTAATTTGATAGACAATGGACTGCAATCATAGCAAAGCTTTGGCCCATATGATTATGAACACTCACCCGTGAACTGTGTTGCGTGTGAATCCTGAAAAGGCCTCAGTTATCCGTCCGTGACCCACTAGTTAGCTAGTCTCTTATTTGCAGACAGACAAACCTGTCACTTTTTCCTTTTCAGAAATCGACAATCGTCATGTTCTGTAAACGGCTGCACAATTTTTCAATTACCAATCTCTCCTCAGAGTCAGAGACAGAACTCTCTCTCTCTCTCTCTATATATATATATATATATATTGGAGAAGAGACGCAGATCTTATTCTTCACATGAATGTCATACATACACACGAGCTTCCTGTTGGAATTTATTCCACCCTATATATATATAATATATCGATTGATTTCTACAGCATATAGGGTTAACTGTTTTGGGTTTTTAAATTTTATATCTCCATTTTATTGTCTCGTTTTCGCTCTTAATTTCTTTGTACATTACGCTTACATGTGCCGTCTTCAATCTCACCCAGACAAATCACTGCAATTTGCCTCAGCAAACCGACGAGACATGAGAAGGAAGTTGTCTCCTGTTTTCTCTGTCCCATGATTGTGTTTTGATCTTAAAAACAGATCATACTTACTCACTGTGGAAGTCTTGTGGAAGGGCAGCCAGCCTTATTTTGCATGTGAGCACAACACACAAGAACAACAACCCACTTGCAGGAATAATACTTTTGGAGCCTCTTGTTTTTATTAGCATGTATATATATAAGTTGAAAGTTGAAACAACTGACATATGGGTATGGCCTGATCTGATGTTATATCGATCGTAGCCTTGGTGTGTACATATATATATATATATGTAATTTGACATTTGAGTGGTGAAAATGACTCCCATGGTCCCGTCATCGCATGCATGCATCTTTTTAACAATATTAGACGCCAAAAATCTTCAAATAAATACAAATACATCAATCGTCAGTGTGACACGGTGATGCATGCCTTACCCATGCAATGAATTGAATGTAACTAAAAATATTTAATAGACAAGAATCAATTTCATATTGGGCGGTGTTTGCTTCAAACTAGCATTCTGTAGCGATAATGATAGCTGTTTTTTCTTAGACCAAGAAAATAAAAGGGCCGGGCCAATGAAAAACCAAAAGTTTCAGAAGTATAGACAAAATCCCAGAAGTTTCCTCGCTTTAGATGTTATTGGTTTTCTGAATTCACACACTCAATATACACGTAAATCATCATATGCGACTGAGTACACGTAAATAACTTGTTTTAATATTATATTAAAATGTGAGTAGGCCTAACATATCATCAACATATGGAATACTCTTAATATGTTTTTTCATTCGGAAAAAGAGATATGATGTTAACAATTTGCCTAATCATTGAATTTTTCTTGTTTGTTTGAGCAGATGTTCTAGAACATCTTACGAGAGTACAAAAAATAGCGGAAATTACTATCCAAAACCCATAAGTAAGTGACAAGGACAATAGCTGAATTTAAAACGTTGAAACAATGCGTTGGCCAAAACTTATTGCGTATTAAAAAAGTAACTAATTCCTTTTGTATTCCTAGCTTGAGTTTGTCTAATAAGGTTTTTATTTTTCTCCACTGATAACTAATTCCTTTTTAAATAAAATTAAAAAAAAATGAAGCGAGATAAAATTACTATAACTATCTATATATATACCGTCGTATTTTGTCACAGGATTTGGACCCAAATACCCTCACTTGGAATTTGCTGATGAACCACATACAAAAGATAATATCCGGAAGGCGCAAGATTACCCGAACCAGGCGTCGTCACCTGAACCTGATACGTGGATATGGCCACATTTGTCACGCTCTCCGCCGCAAGTACAAGCAACCTCTGGTTCATCGAGAACGAATGTGTCGTAAACGATGGCGCCACCATCGTCACCAATACCAAATTCGGCGCCACCGTTCCCGCCACAGAAAATCGAACGGCTAGCTTTTGTCCGTAATTAATCTTAGCTTGAGACTGGGGTGCAACGATTTTGGGACGCAAATTAACGTACTTAGCATCCAGATAATCAGGATTAAATGATTCTAATCTTAATTCCGTAGGGAAAAGCACGTTGGTAAACTCGTAATAAATGTGAGGATTGCTGCCCCCAACTAACACTCTGCCATCGCGTAATAACACCGCTGTGGAATGGTACATCCGCGGTATGGTTGTGGGGTTTTGCTGCTCGAATCTTGACCCGACTGCTTTGTCGGGTCGGTATATAACCGGGTTCAAAACCGGGTTCCGCCCGAATTCCCATCCTGCAGTCCCAACCGCTGCTCCATTGATGATTAAAACGGTGCCGTCCGGAAGCAATGTCATGTCTCCCATGACTCTAGCTTGAGGCATGGTCTCCACTACCCACTGTGGATTCGGGTCGGTTATTTTGATCCGACCGCATGTCTTTAAAGCTTCCACGAAAGTGCCATTGACAGCCTTGGCATAAGATCCTTTCGGAGCCCCACCGCAGACCAAAACCTCAGCCTCAACAAACTGAGCTTGTAAGTTTTTCAATGGCAGCAACACTGCGGACCCGGTGCTCGGGTAGGACCTCGGTTCGCCGCCGGGTATTTGCGGGTAAGTTTTAACGACGACGTTCTTCACGTAGTCGAACAGAATAGCTCGATTGTTGGCGAAAATAAATAAGTTGCCATCCACGTTGAGAAAAACGAAAGGGTAAAGATTGTTTTCGACTTTGGGGTCGTTAGTCTGCACGAGGAATGGCAAACTGTGGACATTGCTAGACGACTCGCTTTTGGGATAAAACTCGTAGTTGAACTGCCGCCTGCCGCCAATGATGATCTGCCGTCCATCTGGCAGAATGTGATTGGTGGCGTACCAACGGCGAGCGGCTAAGCCGTTGTCGTACTCCTTCCAGTCACAGCCGGTGCAGGGTTGGAAAATCCTGACGCGGCGCTCTCCGTCGTTGAAGCCGCCGGTCTGGATCAAGCTACCGTCTTGTGCTACGGATCCGGAGGAGCACCAGACGTCGGTCTGGACCATGAGAGGGCGGAAGGAGTTGGTGGGGACGTCGTATTCGGCGGAGTGAGCGGTGCAGTCGACTTTGAGGGCGGTGTCGTTGGGGTCGTTGCGGCACTGGCCTTCGGGCAGGGACAAGTTAGATTTGCCAAAGTCGGTGCGGTCAAAGAGGACGACGCGGTCGTTGTGGAGGAGTTGCATGTGCATGGCGGAAATGCCGATATTCTGTTGCAAGAGCTGCCATTTGCCACCGGCAGCGTGGGTCAGGGAGATGAGGAGGAAATGGAACAAGAAGAAGAAGAGGAAGGCAAGAATGAGATTTGGGTGCGTCGTCATTCTTTGTGTTGTGTTTTGGTCTGTTGGTGTAATGTTTTACTTGGCTTGCTGGCTGGTCTCTTAAATCCTTTGCTTGCCTTGGCATTGTGTGGGGATCGAGTGGAAGAGAGAGAGAGAGAGAGAGAGAGAGAGAGAGGACAGAGTAATTACCCACCCACATACATGTGAACGCGTCGCGTGGGGCAGACTTGGTGTGTCATCACTGAGAATGACCCTTGTAGTTCAACACCAGCAAGCAATCCCTTCTTCTCAATCTGATATAATCTAAATGCTAGCTAGATACTTGTGCTCCGCTTTGAAATTCCCTTCTCGATTTCTGTTGTTTTGTTTTGTTTTGTTTTTTTTCTATTTCTTAATTGCTTACTCTTTCGTTGGTTGATTGATGAAACTTTATTTCCTCTTTTTCAAAGTACAAATGTTAGGTGAATGTGAAATTCATCATTTTAATGCACGCAAGTGGGATTCAAATTAGGTTCATCCGAATTACACCACAACTAAGGTCTCACTCTAACATTACGATCTTAAATCAATACCTGAACATAATTAATTTAATTTCATGACTTGCGTGCGCCGTTGTGATCGGGCATGATTCTAAC